CTTTTACTCTGGGCATTTGTTATTATATTCTGTTATGTTCTGCTTTACACACACAGACACACACAGACACACACACCCAAGGTAGGAAAACACAAATGCCCTTCTCTCCTTTATTGTGACTGCACTGAAAATAACCAAGGCCTACATACAACCTTGGTGCAAAAGTATAGGCCTCCATTGATTTCTCTGCTGAGACTGAGAAGTTGAAGGCGTGGGGCTGTCTGTCTGCTAGTTTCAGTAGAGCTTATTCACTTATAAATACGTTTCAGATTGTAATCTTAGCTGGGGGACACAGGCCTGTTTTGACATGATGGTCGGGCCTCATTCATACATCATTTTAACCCAGGAGTGGGAAATCTCTGGCCTGCAGGCCAATCTTAGCCAGTCCACGTTGGCCAGAGACACCATTTTCCTGAAACCATGGCTACCTACCTATCAGCTGACTTCACTTGTGACATGACCTGATGAGCAGAAGGGTAGGTTAAATCCTGCATTACTTGTGCACACCTGTTCCCAGAAGGCATCATGTAAAGTCATGTTACTGACAGGGTCAAATTTGACCCATGAGGGTGATCCTTTTAAGGGTATGGCTTGTGGAGCCAAAAAGATTTCCACCTCTGCATTACCTGCGTTTAAACTAAACTATGGTTTAAAGATGAGCAAAGAATGTGGTGGTGTATGGTGCTGAAATCATGGGCACTTTGCTCCCTCCCTGCTCCTCCCCACAAACTAAACCCATCTGAAGTGGGCTTGTGGCATCTTTCCCCCAAACAAACCATGAAAAGTAAACCAAGAACAAACCCTGGATAAAGTCTGAGCCCCGGTTCGGACATAATGCTAAGTGGGGTGGCAGGAATAGGGAAGGAAGCAAAGTGCCTGTGTTTTCACTCTCACTTTGATCCATAGTTTTTTTTAAACTATGGCTGAAAGTAACATGCAAGGCATGCCAGTATATGACAAGATATATATTTCAGTATTAGCAGTGTTGGGAAGAAATCTACAAAGTTTTCTTGAAGAGGCAAACTCCTCCTTTGCTACTTAAAGTATAATGAATTGAAAAAAAATGTTTAAAATAACTTTTGTAAAAACCAACCAACCAACCAACCAACCAACCAACCCAGAAGCCTTTTATTAGGAATTGTAGGTACTGACACTGCAAAGGAACAGAAAAGACTTTTCATGTATGTGACAACAACAATGCGGATGCTACTAGCCCAGAGATGGAAAGAAGACAAAGTTCCTACCAGAGAGGAATGGCAAACCAAGCTGTTGGACTATGCCGAAATGGCAAAACTGACTGGAAGGCTCAGGAACCAAGAAGACCAAAACTTCAGCAAAGAATGGGAAAATTTTATAATTTACCTAGGAGACCACTGTAAGCAGATGAAAACCTTAGCAGGATTTTAATAACACTTGTAATGTAGCGAATATTATGGATAATGTGGAAAGCTATAAAATATGGACTATGAAATAATATGCAGTTGAGAAGGTGGACAATAGGATCCATGGAGGGGAAGGCGGGAAGTCCAGAGATTTGGAGAAATCTCTAAATAGGGATATGTGATTTGGATTGTTATAATTCTATATTTGTAAAGTCAAATAAAAATGATTATATATGTAAAAAGGGAGGCCTGAGCGGTGGTGAGTTGGGACGGCACCTTCCCATTTCATATCGGGTGACGAAACAAGATGGCACTGTCTTTGCCTGTCCCTCAAAAATGCCATCTAAGAAGAGGAAAGGAATTCCTGCACCAGAACACTTTTCCTCCCCTTCCCTTCTTGAATGTACACTCTGTAAAATGGAAGACCCTGCAGTCTGAGGAGACCAATCTTATAGCACACAGTCAACCCAAGTGGAGGTGACAATCTCCTTGTCATTGCCCCAGTCCCATCCTTGAAACTACAGTCTGTAAAGAGGAAAGAAGGAGATACTCTAAGCAGAACAGGAGGAGAGAACTGCCTTCTACTGAGCTCATTCACAGGGCTGTCTTAAGCATATGCGGCGCCGGGGTGCAAAGATCCACCCGGTGGCCTGCCCAATTTTTCGCTGCATAAGACACACTTTTCTCCTCCTAAAAAGTATGGGGAAATGTTTGTGCGTCTTATGGAGTGAATGCGTGGTCCCTGGAGCCGAATCGCCCAGGGGCAAAAAGCAGATCGTGCTTTTTTTTTTTTTTAGAAAGAGGGAAGCCACTGAGCAGCTGATCACCAAGCGATTGGGAGGGGAGATAAGGGACTCTAGCGATAAAGGAGGCTGCCTGGGAGGGGGGAGGTAAAGACAGCAAACTTGAAAGGAGAGGAGACAGGAAGATTAAAGCAATGAGGAGAGAAATTAGAAGAAAAGGAGGAGCAAAAATTGCTCCAGCTAAGGAAAAGCAAACAAGAGGGAAGGGGGTGTTGAAACAAAGCCGCTCAGCAGCTGATTGGCAAGGGATCGGGAGGGAGATAAGGGACTCTAGAGATAAAGGAGGCTGCCTGGGAGGGAGGAGGTAAAAGCACATGGATCCTCAGGATTTTTGCATTGGGTCACCCCAAATTCTCCGTCAGATCACACAGCATGTCCATGGCTACAGCCTGCACCAAAAAATCATGCATCCATAGTTTCGTGGGGCCGCCATGGTGCAAAAACGTGGTTACAAAGCACGGAGCCACATGGATTCTCAGGATTTTTGCATTGGGCTACCCCAAACTCACTGTCAAATCACATATCATGCCTGTGGCCACAGCATGAACCACAAAAATCATACATCCAGTGTTTCATTCAGAATATTTTTTTTCTTGTTTTCCTCCTCTAAAAACTAGGTGCGCCTTATGGTCAGGTGCATCTTATGGAGCGAAAAATACGTGATTTCCCTCTGTGTGAAGAAACTGTGGATTGTGTGAAATAGGGCCCATCTGACCTTTTCAAAAGATATCACCTCAGAAGAAAAGGCATTTTGCTTTAGCTCCCTACATGAAAATGAGGCGTTAGAAATTGCTGCGTGGAGACTTTGCTATCTCAAAAACAGATGTGTGAATCATGCCCACATCACTTAAAAGTCTGTAATAATACAGCCCGATGTGACATCAAAATAACCTTAGTCTTATTATGTGGATTTTGTCACACTGTAGGCTTGAAAGAAAATAGGCATAATGATCAGAAAGATATGGCTCAGAGTGTAAGTGGCTGTGTTACAGAGATAAGGTAGATTTCCAATGCACATTTATACACTTTACAATCTCATTTATTGAAGTGCTTAAGGGACTTTTGAAACGTTTGGATAATGGGAAATTTGTATAAATAGGAATTCTTAATTAGGGTTACAATGACAGGAGGCCATATGGAGAGAGTACTGGGTGTGAACGGTTATGTTTAGGAGCTTCAGATCACAAAGGTTAGCAAAACTAAGATTAGACTGCATCTAGCTATACTGTATAAACCTTTGGGTGCTTAGGTTATGAAATATTTGGTTGGATCCAGACAGCTACGCTAAGAGTAGACCCATGACAAAGTTTGAATCTGACTCATTCACTACGGCAGGGATGCTTCTGGGACCACAATTCCCATCATCCTTGAAGACTAGCCCTGTTGGCTGGGGATGATAGGGGCTGGAGTCCCACAATGTATGGAGATCCCCCCCCTTTAAAAATATTTATGGCATATGTCATCTTGGTGTTTGTTTTGCTTTGTCCGCATTGTGGCACAGCGAAACAGGCATGGGATCATACTTATGTACTGAAGTTCTCACCCTGGGCCTGCAGGGAGATACTGTAGATAGTTTTCACTCCAGTCCACATATGCAAATAAGGAATTGAAAGTGACGTTCAGTGATTGGATAGTTACAGAAAGTTGTTACTGTTGCCTTGTAGTTGAGCTCTATATAAGCAGGTTGGCTGAATCCTTCAGTTCAGTTCAGTTCTGTTCTGGCCTGTGAATAAACAAGAGCTGTTTGAAGAATCGCTGTGTAGTGTGATATGTTCACCCACAACTTAACAATACTGTTTCTGTCTTGTTTGCATAGTCAGGAGTACAGGGAAGTTTTTTTTCCCTTTTAAAAAAGAAGAGAACATTTAGGCGACAGCTTCTAGCACTCTTAGTTCAGAATGTCTATGCTAAACTGGATGTGTTCTGGGAAATCAAGAGGAGGGTAGCTTGTCACAGCAGGAGGGGGATACCCCCTGACTTCTTCAGCAGCCTACCTCATTTCTGCCTTTTCACCCCTTCCTTTCCAGCCTCTGCTCCTGGCTCTGATTCTGGATTCCTTTCTGCCACAGCCTCTTCCTGCTCACTAAACGCTGTTACCTCTTCAGCTTCCAAAACCTCCTCCTACCAGTCTGCTCCCTCTTCTGCCTCTGAACACTCATCGCCATCCCACCACCAACCCCTGGCTCTGAACCTTCTTCCCTTGCAGGTTCCCCAGCTGGTGTCTCCCACCACTCTTCTGTAACCAGCCAGTTATCCTTCAGAGTTTGCCCTTCTCTGGATTTTGCAATGGAGTTCTCCAGACCAGCGGAATGTACCAAAAATGAATATACTGAGGTGCAGTGTGCATAAAATCACACGTATTGGTGAAAATAACATAGCAAAATTGCTTTTCAAAAATCCGCACATTAGGCAAAATTGCACACAAATGTGTGTTAGGAGACTTTTGCTCTAAAAAGCTGGCGAACTTTTCACACTGTGAACACAGTGGGTCTTGCCTCCGAATAGACACAGCATAGAATTGTGTTGCAAACATAGCTTTCATGTTTGGGCTACCTATTGGCCAAGGCTAAAATCCTATACAGTGGTACCTCGGGTTAAATACTTAATTCGTTCCAGAGGTCCATTCTTAACCTGAAACTGATCTTAACCTGAAGCACCACTTTAGCTAATGGCCTCCTGCTGCCGCCGCACCACCCGAGCACGATTTCTGTTCTCATCCTGAAGCAAAGTTCTTAACCTGAAGCACTATTTCTGGGTTAGTGGAGTCTGCAACCTGAAGCGTATGTAACCTAAAGCGTATGTAATCCGAGGTACCACTGTACACACTTACCTGGGAGTAAGCCCCCCTGAGCCAAATGGGACTTACTTCTGAGTAGAAATGCATATAATTGTGCTGCAGGATGATGTACGTTTGACAGTGACAGCGCAATTGTAGGCATAACCAATCAAAGGTAAATCCTAATGGAACTTACTGGTAAATGCTGCTAGGATTGTAGCTGAACTCCCCTTTGTGCAAAACAGAGCAAAGGGACAAGCGTGTGCCATGTTAGTCATAGGAGAGGTTTTGCTTTCTAAAAACACATGCATTAGACTCAGCAGCTGAGCTAGTGATAGTGTCATCTTTCAAGGTTTCTCCCATAAAATCCTTACCCCTGCTGAAGGCCACCATCACATATGTCTAAATGTTTTGACAATGTTTTTTCCAGTATCACTTTGTATTTACACTATTCGGAGCTCCGATGTGTTACAGAAACGAAGCCTTGAGGGCAGAGGATAGGGTATATGATCTAAGAAAACAAGGCGTGTCTTTCTCCAAGTCACATTTCTTTACTGTAAATATGGTATGATTTTGTTGTCATTGCTGTTGCCAGGACCGGAAAAAGGCTTTTTGATGAATCTCAGGGATATCCAATCCACTGCTGATAAAAATCGAGTTGAGATCAATCAGGTGATCAGTTTAAGCAAAAGTTCAATCTTTTGTTGGCTATGCTGCCAAGATGATGGGCTTTTAGTTTCAAGGCAGTTCTGCCTGCTTTTACAGCTGAGGTTCAAAAAAAACCAAATCTTTAGTCTCCTTGATGAATTTTAAGGCAGTACTGTTAAGTATCACCTTGTGAAATTCAGTACTTTTAAACCTTCTAAGCCCCATAAGTGGGCATTTTGTTTTTTAAAAAAGGAAATGATATGAAATGAAATGAAATGTAGGTTTGGGTCCAAAAAGGACCTGCACCTTGGTGGTCGCACATGCGTTGGATACACACAAAATAGTAAACACTTTTAGGGATTTTACTACATCTCACTGTATTCTCTCATTAACAGGTGCCCATCTCACAGTGGTCTACAAAAGACACTAGACCATTTCACTGCCAGACTAGCTGAGGTATTAAGTGCTTGGCTGTATTTGCATAGCTTTTAAGTTTGTTAACCATTCTATACAAATTAGCATATTTTCCACATTGGAACACAGCCCTCATCCACCCCAGTCCGTTGAGAAATGGAAGAAGGCTTCGATGTGCAGATAAACCGGATGCAGCTCAGTTTATTTATTTATAAAAATATTTATATACTTCTATGTCATAAGGAAGAAATCAAAGTGGTTTTACAGCAACAAAACCATACAATAAAAAAGCATATTAAAAAGTTATAAAGAGTGGGAAAAGCTATTGCTCAATGAATAAACAGTGCTCCTAGCTTTGAAAGATCCAGTTGCCTGTTTTTTGGGATCCAGTCATCTTTGAATACCTGGTTAGTACTGTCAGAAATGACAGCGCTGATCATCTGTTGGTTAGCGTATAAAGATACAGGTCCTTGCACACAGTAGCACACACAGAATATGTTCCTGTACATGGGAACATATTTGGATCAGGGGCTTCATCTCGTAGGAGCTTCGCATGGACTCAACTTGTCAGTGATCACAAGCTACACTCTTGAGATCCTGATACAGTCAATTTAATCCGTTTCTGGATCTGCTCTGCATTCATGCTGATTATATTTTTATGCTCTTGTTCTCATTATAAAGTAAACAATAACACTGATGGGATATCTCCCTAATTTCCTCCTAATAGAGTTGAAACATAAAAGTACTTTGCAGTGGTAATGCTGCCCATTTCAATTATAGATGGCAATTTTGTTCTGTGTTTTAAGTTCTTCTCTGCTGGCTGGAATGAGTCATAAGGTATAAATACTAAAATACCTGTCAAAAGTGTTTTTTCCCCTTAAATACAAAAATGACAGTAAAACATAACAAATCCTGAGTAATTCTGGTCTTTCATCCCTTCTTTTATGCCATGAAAACATAGAAATGAGGACATAGAACGTAGAAATGAAACATAAAAATGAAGGTATGGAATATTATTATTATTTCTCTTTCTTTTTTTAAAAAAGTGCTCCTTCAGGCATTTAATATGTATGAGAGAAATATTGTTTTTTTTTAAAATAATATTTATTACTTTCCAACAAATTAGACATTACATAAAAAAAGAAAATAAACAATAGAATACAATACAAAAACAATACCTAACACTAAACTAACAAAAACAATTTAAACTAAAAAAAAAAAAACAAAAGCAATTTAAAACACATCAAATAATTTCAATCTTTCATTCACTTGTTTCCATGACCTTCTCACACCTCCCTTTTTGTATTCCACTTCTATTAGTTGTTTCAGCAATTCCTTTCCATCTTCCTCTGCTTTCTATCCTACAATTATCTTAACACATTTTGACCTTATTTTCCCCTTTAATTCTCTATTAATCTATTTATACTTAATTCCTTATAACATTTCTGCTGAAGCCATATAACTTCATTCCCACATTTTTCTAACATTCATTAATTTTACAATATTTCTGTAAATAGTCTTTAAACTTTTTCCAATCTTCTTCCACCGACTCTTCTCCCTGGTCTCGGATTCTGCCAGTCATTTCCGCCAATTCCATATAGTCCATCAACTTCATCTGCCATTCTTCCCGGGTGGGTAAATCTTGTGTCTTCCAATACTTCGCGATGAGTATTCTTGCTGCTGTTGTAGCATACAAGTTTCTATCCTTCTTTGGCACCAATTGGCCGACCATGCCCAGGAGAAAGGCCTCTGGTTTCTTCAGAAAGGTATATTTGAATACCTTTTTCATTTCATTATAAATCATCTCCCAGAATGTCTTAATCCTTGGGCATGTCCACCAAAGGTGAAAGAATGTACCTTCAGTCTCATTACATTTCCAACATTTATTTTCGGGCAAATGGTAAATTTTTGCAAGCTTGACTGGTGTCATGTACCACCTATAAATCATTTTCATTAAGTTTTATCTTAAAGCATTACATGCCGTAAATTTCATACCTGTGGTCCATAACTGTTCCCAGTCAGCCATCATTATATTATGTCCAACATCTTGTGCCCATTTAATCATAGCTGATTTCACCGTTTCATCCTGGGTGTTCCATTTCAACAGCAGGTTATACATTTTTGACAAATTCTTAGTTTTGGAATCTAACAATTCTGTTTCCAATTTTGATTTTTCCACCTGGAAACCAACTTTTTTGTCCAAATTGTATGCCTCCATTACAGTATTTGATAATAATGGAGCCAATCTCGCACTTTATTTTTCAATTTTTCAAAGCTCTGCAATTTTAGTCTATCTCCCTCTTGTTCCAGAATTTCCCAATATTTCGGCCATTTGGCCTCCATATTGAGTTTTTTCTGTGCCTTCGCTTCCATTGGTGACAACCATCTTGGGGTTTTCTTTTCTAACAAATCTTTATATCTTATCAATACATTGAAATATTGTTTGTTTTTATTATTTTTAATATATGTTTTTCCACATAAGCCCAATCTCTGAGTGGTGTGAGAGTCCAGGGATCCCAGGCACTTAACCAGTGTTCACCTGACTGAAGAGAAACATTTTTGCCTGCACCTAAGAAATGTAATGAAGGCCCCAGGTGAGCCTTGCTGGGGAGAGCATACCACAAACAGGGAGCTACCACAGAACAGGCCCGTCCTCATGTTGCCAACCTCTGGACACGAGTCCTGGTTTTTGAAATAAAAAAGTTGGACAGTATGGAAGTGTGGTTTGAGGAGGAGAGAGGGCGCAAGGGGCCCACTGGAACCCTGTGCCCAACGGCTCCCCCGTTGTACTGTATATATGTACTGTATATATATATATGTACTGTATATATTTGGGGTGTTTATAGAAATGCCACAGATTAGGGTTGCTGGATACTGGTGTATGGCAGCCCTACCACAGACGGTACCTCTCGCATTTCATGGTCCTTTGGCTCCAATGTTTATAATTCTTCGCCTCTGTGCCCATAGATGTACACATGTGTATGTACCCATGCACAATCTGCTAACTGAGGATAGCATTCTGCGTTCTGTCTGATGCTGTGGGCTCTGGTCCAAGAAAGTGTAGGCCACAAGAAATATGTAGTCCTTAAGGTGTCATAACACTGTTTGTGTGCCTGTGTGTGTGTTTTAGAGAATAAGTAAGTCTGTGGCTGCACTGCAGTTACCTAAGAAACAGCAAACACATATCTAAGCAAAAACTGTAAGCAAATATCATGTCTTCCTTTTACATCATCCTTTCCAAGAGAGAGCTTAAATAAGGCCCTCACTTCAAAGGACTAGGCAAATTAATTACAGCATAGACACATCCAAAAGAGGTGCATGTGCCCCGGAACAGGTGATAGACCCTTTCGTGGTTAGGAGGACATTCCAACAAGCAGCGAGGCTGGGAAAGAATGCAAAACAATTGCATGGCAATTTTAATATTTTTCTTTTCAGCTTTGAAGAAAGTTTTGCTGCTTTTTTCTTGGTCTCACATATATTAATCCGTGCGCCAAAATTCACCTCTCTTTTTCATGAATCTGGCCAGAATTATTTGACACGCCATAAATTTTAGTTTGGAAATTTGGTGATGCAATGTTGTTTAGTCACTTCAGAAACATCTGTTGTAGCTTCAGAGGTACAGGGGAGAAATGTCTGTAGTGTAGCCTTTGACAACTCGGTGCCCTCCAGACGTTTTGGATTTCAACTCCCATGGTGTCTCTTGACGGATAGGTTATGTGCACTTTCTCATGAGGCATGCTGAAGGAGCATAAATGCTGACTGCAGGTACTTTAGCTGTTCATCTCTCATTATCCTGGCCCAGCACACACACATATGTCACACATGCGAACATAGGGCAAATCAGAGGCAGAGGCACCAATTTGAGCAGAAGATGGAGGGACGGGATGGACGATGATGCTTGCATTAAATGTGCAGGACGCCAGGATGATGGTAGGAGCCAGGGGGCGGAGCCAAATGCGGCACCGGCGGCACCAAGGCTTCTGTGGCTGGCAGCTCCTCCTCTCAGGTGCTTGGCCTCCTCCTCTTCCAGTGTGGTGTAGTGGTTCAGAGCGGTGGACTCGTAATCTGGTGAACCGGGTTTGATTCCCTGCTCCTCCACATGCAGCTGCTGGGTGACCTTGGGCTAGTCACACTTCTCTGAAGTCTCTCAGCCCCACTCACCTCACAGAGTGTTTGTTGTGGGGGAGGAAGGGAAAGGAGATTGTTAGCCGCTTTGAGACTCCTTTGGGTATGATAAAGTGGGATGTCAAATCCAAACTCCTCCTCCTCCTCCTCCTCTTCTTCTTCTTCCTGCCGCCACCAATGGCTGGTGGCTGCTTCCCCCTGCCTTCCCCTCCATGGCAGCAGAAGGAGGAGGAACCACCAGCCCCTGAGCTTGGCTCCACACTTGGCCTCCTCCTCCTGCCACTGCCACTGGTCCAGAGCTGCTTTCCCCCTTCTCCTTCTCCTCCTCCTCCTCAGCAGCAGAAGGAGCCACTGAAGCCGTACCGCGTTCAGATCCATGTTCAGCCTCCTCCACAACTGATTGTCCTCAACATTGGTGGCCCCTGCTCCCCCCTAATATTTCATTGGAGGGCTCTGGGTGCCTTAGAGTTGGCATTTAAGATCAGAGGGGTGGCCCGTGAGAGCTATTTGGTCCCCAGACTCAAGCTCAAAGAATCCCCTAAATTTTGATAAAGCGTGTTCTCCTTCATGGAGAGCACGTGTTGCGGTGGGGGCCGACAAGACACACCAAAATTGTGGGGCGGGCTAATTGATAGTTGGCCACTGTTGTGATTGGGCTTCCCTTGTTGTTGGGGAGAAGTTAATGTTGCCATTTAGTGATTGACGGCCAGAAACGTTAAAACTCCCTGCACGCAGCGTAGAGTTTCCTCGTTTCGCTACGTGCATCGGTTTGGTTGGTTGAGGGGCATGGATTGGCTGTGCCTGCCCCTCTAATGCTGCTGCTGCAAGGGTATTCTGTTAAAGGAATACAGGGGCTCACCATTGCTTTTGTCCGAACCCTGTCAAGGGGCTAGGGCCACGCAAGAGCTCCTGGTTGCATTTGGGGAGGGCTGAGGGCAGGTTCCCAAAATGTATTCCCCTTTTCTGACTTTCACAGGCGTGTGAAATGTCAGTCTGTCCCCACCGGGGTCAGATAGTGGCAACCAATGCCTAAGCAGCCACTCACATTTCTGTATTTTAATAAAGTTGTCGCCAAAATTATGCCAAAAACCTTAAACAAAAATTCTGTGCGAAGTGTGTTATTTGGGGTGGCTTGGGGACCTTGACACGCAAGTGTTGCAACTTGTATTTAGGCGCATCAGACCACATTGTGACACACTCTCTCGGCTTAGAACTGCAAACAGGAGACGTGGTTTGTTAAAATACATTATTTTTCCCTGATCTAGGTTTTGTCATAAGCTTGATATCAACTGCGACACTACACAAAAGCGAGATTCCCTCTAAATAATGAGTGCATTTACGCAGAAAATAAGCTGGTAAAGCATTTGTTATATTAAAAAAAACCCCATACAATTTATGTATCACTCTTTTTTTGCGGGTGCCTTAGTTTGTTTTTGTTCGTTGTCGTTTCTTTATAATGGCTTGGGGCCTCAACAGTTGGAAGTAGCCTGGGCTTTCCTGAGTCTCTGGAAGAACCTCCACATACATAAGCAAGCAAGCAATAAAGCAAATGCATATATTATCTATACACCAATGCAAATAATTATACACATTACAAAAGTTTTTCTCCATTGAGACAACTACTTCCAATCCTTCCCCCCGACCACCTCCACTATGCCCATTTTGTAGTGATTTTGCAAAAAAATAAGATAAAAATCTCCTATTTAATATTCTGATAGAGAAATCACCAACATGTACAAATTAAAAACAGATCAATATGCCATAAAAGATAGTAATTAGGAAGATGAGACCTCCCTAACTTGTAGGCAATTATTTTATGGTATTTTTGATTAATGATTTCATTTTAGCTGTTTCAGTGTTCTGCGGTCGTCATTTGTTAGCGATAATTATGGACATCATGCCTTGCCTGAATCTGAGTAATTCTGACCAACAAATATGAATTAAAATCAATAGAAATGTCATTAGCATCCCACTTCCATGCGAGATAATACAACCATTTCTCATGCATTCAGTTTATTAAAATTTGCTAAAGTGTGAAATATGTATGACAAGTAACGATGTTTTAATCTTTCACCAAGGTAACAATTGGAATCTGATTGATTCCATTCAGTATTTCATTCAGTAATTATAAAATCAAAATGATGGAAGATCATAATCAAGAAGGATTCATG